TCTGTCGTATTATAGTGTTTGTTTTTAATAGTGATTTATTAAGTAAGCATTAGATTTTGCTAGAATTGGATAACTTGTTAATCAAGATTGTTGATTGATAATTTGGAAAAAATTTAATTTAGAACTCCACACATTTAATCATTGTGTATACACTTCTTGTGATTACAAAAATTAAATCAATTAATAGCAAATGTTTCATTATTATAATCTTTGATATTTGTGAAACAAACTATGCCAGCTTGATCAATATTCATCTGTATAATTTTCATTTTTGCATCAAACCTTCCACTCGCAACTCATTTTTCAATACACTCTGATTTTGGAACAGTGGTTGAATTTTACCTTGGGGATATTCACCCTATCTAGATTGTTTTTCTACTTCCATATTCACATTGAACACGTTTGACTTAAGTGAGATGGATAACCTTTGGAATTGCTTGATACCTAGCAGTACTCCCACCCTATCTAGACTGGTCGTGAAAGACAAAAATCTATCGGTCATACTTATATAAGGACTTTGATCAACAGAGACTCCTTATTGGTCGTTTGACAGCTTGACATGAACAGAACCAGTTGTGTGTTTGTGGCGAGAATACTCTGAGCTAAATTTCTTTACAATGTTCTTAGCTTATTTACTTTGGGAAATAAAAATATCACATTCCATTTGTTTCACTTGGAACCCGAAGATCAAGTAAACTCAACAACCATGCTCATTTCAAATTCAACATTCATTTGTTGAATAAAATTATCCACCATATTGAAAGACATCTCTCCAAACAAAATATGGTGTTTGGAGAGATGTGTATATATATATATATATATATATATATATATATATATATATATATATATATATATATATATATATATATATATATATATATATATATATATATATATATATATATATATATATATATATATATATATATATATATATATATATATATATATATATATATATATATATATATATATATATATATATATATATATATATATATATATATATATATATATATATATATATATATATATATATATATATATATATATGTTGTATGAAGTATTTGTGTTCGATGAAATTTATTATTATAAGACATATAAATATCATCTTAAAATGGATCATGACTTATATAATCCTCTAAATTTAGAGTCTAATGTAACTATTGAATACCGAGGTGTGAAATTTTGAGAGGCTTATCATGGAGGATAAGAAATTCAAGATTTTCACAAATGAAGAACCTCATGAGGAAGGTTCTCCACAGATTGTTGCAAGTCAAACCGAAAGTTTGTCACTAATGAAGAATCTCGTGAGGAAGATTCTTCATGGATTGTTGAAAACAACTCGAACTTACAATAAGCAAGAGATTCAGAAAGGCTAAGGATTTAGGATCGAACAAAATCGATTGTCGACATATTTCTTTTATCTAGTAGAACAAAATAGTGAGAATTTTGTTCATAAGATTCCTATTATTCTTTAAGTGGAAGATGATCCTATGATTTACAATTAAGAAGTAACTTCAAAGGATTTATCTTGGAATGACGTTATCCAAGACAAATGAATTCAATAATATCAAACCATACTTGAGAACTTCTCAATCTACCTAAAGGATCAAGATCCATTTGATACAAATAGGTGTTTATAAGGAAGTATCATAGTGATGATACACTAAAAGGATATATTAGTAACCAATAATTTTAGAAAAAAAGGAAGGTGTTGATTATTTTAACACATATGCACTAGTAGCAAGGACGATGAAAATTAGAATATTGGTTGTATTAATTTCTTTGCATGAACTTATAGTTCCTCCAATGAATGACAAAATAACGTGCGAGCTTGTCAAATCCTTGTAAGGATTAAAATAGACACCGAAACAATGACATCAAAAGTTAGACTTTGTCATTGCAAAATTCACAAATTAAAGAGGAGACACACAATTTAAGGGGAGACTCTTCAATCATTTTCAGAGACTCTTCAATCATTTTTAAAAGAAGAATTAAAAGATTTTGTCATCATCAAAAGGGGAAGATTGTGAGGAATACATCTTATATCTAGTTCTATTTTAATGAAGACAAAGATTATCATAGAAGAAAAGGTCCAAAAGTGTCATGCCCATCAATGATGAAGTTGATCAAGAAGGTTTAGCATATAAATTCAAGTGAAGATTTGATACAAGTGAACATAAATAAGGTGCTCATTTCAATTTATATTATACTACTTTAAATTGCTCATAATTTCATCTCTCACTTCATATAAAACCTTCTTGCATCATCATGCATGATTATCTAAAAACATTCTTCATCTTATTCTTATTACAAGTTTTTGTACACAAAGTTATGTGAGAATATTGTGATATTCATTAGTCTCCATGTTGATTATATGATTGATCATTAACAACAAGATGAATGGAATTTTAAAAACAAAGAGGTTTCTAACTTCCACATTCAAGATGAATGATCTTGGACTAGTTGACATGTTTTGGGGGGGTCAAAGTAAAGCGAAATAGTGGGGGTTATGAACTTAGTCAAACACACTATGTTGAAAAAGTGTTTGATAAGTACAAACACTTACGCTTTAAGGAAGTGACCACTTCTAATGTCAAACTTCAAAAGGATGATGGATGAGTTATGGCTCAATTGGAATATGCAAGTGCATGCAATGTACTAGACCTGACATAGCATTTGTAATTAGTAAAATGAATAGATTTTACTAGTAATCCAAATGGTGAGCACTATAAGGCCATCATTAGAAAATTTTGGATATCTTATAAAAACCAAAAATTTTGGTCTCCATTATGCTAGATTTCCTGCCATATTAGAAGGATATACCGATGCGAGTTGGATATCGAGTATTGAATATCAAAAAAAATATGCATTTGGGTGGGATATTTACACTAGCAGAGGGTGCAATTTCTTGGAAGAGTAAGAAACAAATGTGGACCACTCTCTCAACCATAGAATCGGAGTTCGAGGCTCTTGTGAAGAAGTTGAATGATTGAGGGACCTTCTATTGTAAGTTCCATTGACTAAAGATAATGTTCCAAAGGTGTTGATACATTGCGGTAGTCAAACCACTTTAACTAGAGCATACAAAAAATTGTGTAACAGAAAGTCTAGGCAAGTAGGTCTTAGACATTCTTTCGTGATAAAAATTGATTAAGGATGCAATCATTCTCACATATTCGATCGAGCTATAATTTTCTTGATTCGTTTACTAAGCCCTTTCCCAGAGACTTAGTAAAAACAACCTCGAGAGGTATGGAGTTGAAACTCCTTGAGTAAGAGTTCCGACTACGACGTCAACTCAATCTTACGTTAGTAGAACACTAACCTCAAGGTTCAATGGGTAACAACAAGTCGTTGACTTGGATGTTTGTCGAACATTTCGTGATAATGTTGACCTTTAAAATGAGGGTTGCATTTTTATTTAAATTCTTAATGAAGTTCAATACCGAGGGTATGTGTCACATGAAAAAGGATACAACATGGACTTCACCTATGTGAATTTCGAGATGGTGTCGTCTTAAGGTGAGAGTTGGAGTTTCTCTCATGAAAAATTCATGAAAACAGGAAAAACACATGGCCATAAATAGTGCTAGGCGAGAGATGTAGGCGAAGAACCATTAAATAGTGTGTGTAAGATAATGTCAGTTTAATCACAAGGGATAACAGTTCAAAGTATTGCTACCTAACATTCTGATTAAACTTTGCGTTATTCTTACTAAGGTTAAGTTCAAATCGAAAGATACTTAATTGTATTAATGTTCTTTGTTTCCTTTTATTTCTACAATTGATTTTGTCATTATTAGAATAAGTGGGGGATTTTTGAAAATTAATGAACAATTAATGCCCTTGGGTGTGTTCAAATATGACAAAGTTAAAGAGGATAAAAGTAGAAATTGCCTTCAAATTTGTTTGAAGGAATTTTGGTCAGTTTTTGCACTAAACATCTACAAGTGGAATTTGCCTTCAAATCTGTCCGAAGGAATTTTTGTCAGTTTTTGCACTAAACATCCACTAGTGGAAATTGTCGTTAAATTTGTCTCAGACTACTGAAAGTTTGAATTTCAAATTTAAAATATACAACACTTCATGAAGTGGTTCATAATGTAACTATAGGCGAATCATTGCAATCTTATGCTGAAAATGTGTTGTTTCATCAAGGGTCGCAATCTTGTGAAACAACACATGCATGACCTATAATACGTCATTTGGAATTAAGAAATTATATCACAAACCAAATATCCTCTTGGACAAAATTTCAAACACACTTCATTATATAATCACTTTTTTTTGTCAGTCTTGCGCAAATTCGATATAAGTCTGAATTATTCTGAATATTACTATTTTCGACTCTAAGACATATAAAAAAAATGCTTGAAATATTTTTAAAAAACATAATTACGTTCATGATTTTAATTTCGGTCCATTTAATTTGTATTAATTTTCCAACAATAAAATTGTCTCAAAATTTTAAGACCGACATGGTGCTTGAAGGTAGAAAAAAACTACAACTAGTAGTCCAATTCAATCTACCGACATGGTGCTTGAAGCTAGAAAAAAACTACAGCTAGTAGTCCAATTCAAGCCTTATCCATATCACCATACACACCGCACGTGTCATCTATGAATCACAATCACTTTCAGTGCCGACATGGTGCTTGAGGCTAAAAATACAACTAGTAGTCCAATTCAAGTCTTATCCATGTGGCCATACACACTCCACGTGTCATCTACGAATCACAATCACTTTTAGTTTTCGATAAACACATCAACACGTGTTCCTGTACGCGAGGATTCTACGTTACCACCTGTTAGACATTCTAATTACCGACATAATTTAGATTTTTGTTTCAAATCCAATAGTACATTCATTTGCCTATAAAACATCATGTTTAATTTTATCAAAATCACAAAACAAACCTCTTAGACAACAACAATCTTTTAAGAAAAACCAAAACCTTGTTTTTGTTTATTTGTGAAGAATAATAACAACAATGTCTCAGTATCAAAACCAACATGGTGCTCAAACAGGTACGACCGACGAATATGGAAACCCAGTAAACCAACTTGATCAATATGGCAACCCTATTAGTGGCGGTGGGTCCACTGGTGAAGCCGGTAGACAGCATTTAGGAACTACCGGTGGTGCTACTGGTCATGGTCATGGTCATGATCAACAACATGGTGGAGTTTATCAAACCACAGGGTATGGGACCAACACAGGTGGTGTGGGTGCTTATGGAACCAAGCCTGAGTATGAAGGCACGAACACTGGAAGTGGTTATGGTACAGGAACAGGGTACGGTGGAACTGGAAGCACTGAGTATGCGAGAGAGGAGCACCATGGAGATAAGAAAGGGGTTATGGACAAGATTAAGGAAAAGATTCCTGGTACTGAACAATCAAGAACCAATCCTGATGCAGCAGGGTATGGAACAACCGGTCAAGAGTATGTGAGAGAGGAGCGTCGTGTTGATCATGGAGATGAGCAACGTGGAGAGAAGAAAGGGATTATCGAGAAGATTAAGGAGAAGCTTCCTGGCAGTGGACACTAGATCATGATCATGGTTAATATCTATGGATATATATGCATATCATCAATAATGGTTTCAGTAGTTTGTTTGTGTGATGTATTTTATAGTGTCATGTAAAAGATATAAAACTTTCAATAAGTGCATGCGTAACACTATCACTTGATACCATACTTCATCAACATACATATATAGTCATTTTGAAATAATTCAAGTAGGAGTTACGACGACACACACTTTAAACTTATTCTGCTGCATGAATGTAATAGTATGTGTTGGTTGTTGTTATATTAATTATACTCTCTGCCTTTGAATTCGGAATTATTATAATAATATTGTTTTAATATTCATATATATAATTATAAAAATGTTAAATTATAGTTTAAGTCTCGTTATTTTGACATCAGTCTTTCTATTAAAATAAATTATTTTTATGGTCTCTCATATTTATTTTTATGGTCTCATATTTATTTTTATCTAAAATATAACACTTAGTACTATTTTTTTTAGATACATAACATAACTTTTAGATACATAACATAACTTTTATTGATTTGGTATAAGAACAATTAATTATTGATTATTGATTTGGTATAAGAACAATTAATTATTTGACGACGTTTTATTCAGTTGTCTTCTTTATTTATTTCTTTAACATAACTTTTAGATACATAACTTTTATTGATTTTGGCATAAGAACAATTACGTTTTACTTTTCAGTTGTCTTTTTTATTTTTTCTTTCTTTGTTAGCCAAAAAAAATTGCTCTTTATTTTTGTCTTTATATAAAATAATTTTATTTTTTCTTTCTTTTGACTTTCGTCAAAAAATTGCTCTTTATTTTTGTTTTTATATAAAATAATTTTAAAATAATTTTTTTAGACGGAAAGACAAAAACTTTTAAAAACTTAAATGAGCAAAAAAATCCTACTTTTCTAGATGGAAAATGGACATGAGAAAAAAAATCCTCTTTATTTTTGTTTGTAAAAAATTCTCTTTATTTTTGTTTCTATATAAAATAATATTTTTAGACGGAAAACTGGCATGAGAGAGTAAAATTTTTAAAAGTGTTCCTCATATTTATTCTGTGTATTATTTTTTTAGATACACCATATAACTTTTTGCCAAAAAATTACTCTTTATTTTTGTTTCTATATAAAATATTTTTTTTAGATAAATTTTTAAAAAGTTAAATAGAGTTTTTTTTCGACTTGTTTATTTGTTTTTTCGTTCACCAAAAAATATTTTTTATATTCTTTCCCATTTGAAAAGTTCATGTTCTTTATGCTCTCTCTCATTTGAAAAATATGTCATTTATACAAAGTAAATAACATATCAATGTTTAACATATCAATGTTTTTTAGATGAAAAATGAATATGGAGGACTAAAACTAATAAAAATGGATATGAAGGACTAAAACTAATAAAAGTTAAATAAGAAGATTGATTTTGTGAGTTCATCAAAATATGAGGACCAAAATTTAAATTTAAATTTAAAAAAATAACAATAATTTTTATTAATTTAAAAATAATGTATAGAGATAAAATTAGAAAAATAATTACTTATATTGAAATTACTTTTATTAATTTGTATATTTTCTTTTCGAAAACATTTTTTCTCAATTTTAAAACGGAAAGAATATGTATCTATAGTTTTAAACCGTATAAATGTTTACATTTGTATTAGGTATTGTAAGTCACACTAAAAACGGTATCATAACATTGCCATGGCCGCATCATATCATTGTAACAACTATATCATATTGCTACATATTACTTTTAAAACGGAGATTTAAATTGCAATGCGCATCAGTATTCGCATTTGTTCGCATTTGTATCAGGTTGTAATTGCAGTGTAATTATAAGTTACACTAAAAATCACATCTTAACATTGTAACAACTATATCATAATAATGTAACAACTGCATCAGATTATTACCTATTATGCGTTATTTAAAAAAATTGATTTTTTTTCCTTTTTATTTATATCGTTGATTAAATATATGTTTTAAATGATTAGAAAAACTTAAAGTGATGACGAATTGTTAAAAGAATATATATAAATATTATGAGAGAGAGACAAAAAAAATATTTTTACATTAACATTGATAACAATACTTCTAAGAGCATTTTTAGTGGGAGTAAACTAAATGGGTAAACTAAGATACTTTTTGTGGGTCCAAAGTGATTTGTAGGATTTAAAAAATTTATAATTGATTTGGGTAGTTTTTACTTTGTCTATAAGAAACCAAAACTTGACCCTATATTTTATATTTTTTATTTAAGTTACCATTAATTTAATTATTTTAATTAAAATACATATAATTTTTTAAATAAAATTTACCTTAAAAACTTAAAAATAATATTAAATGTATTTTATTATAAAATTAAAAATGATATAAAATTCACAACAATAATACATAAAAAAAAATTACATTTTCATAGGAATATAATTATAATAAGGATTCGATTGCTTGAGATCCATTTGATAAATAAATAAGATTGGAAATTGAAAGAAAAAAATTTAGAAGTAAAACTGTGTGTAAAAAAAATTAAAATTTCTATAGAATTTATAGAAGGTAAAAAATGATAATATGACTGTTACTATTTTCAAATATCATACCCTTATGTTGTTGGAATATTTGGAATATTTTATTAATATTAAATAATATTATAATAGATTTCATATGAATAGTTAACGTTAACTATATAGATAATGGGAACTAAATTTTAGTTCATTTGGATGTCATGTCAGCTCTCCTATAATGCAAATTCCTTATTACTAACGTAAGTTATAAAGAATTTTGGTTTAACAACCCTTCGTTAAAGTTGCTCTAAAATATTTAAACAGTTACAAGTGGATTGGGTCACAAGTTGCAACGTCAAATAACTGAAAAAACTGGAATCTCAGACCTGTAAACGGTTACACAAATCCTATAATCAATTACAGTTTTTAAAAATTTTAAAAATATAAACAGTGGTAACTGTAACGCTCTAAAATAATTAGTGTTTTGGAGTGGGTCCAGACCTGCCCATTCGTCGGGCGGGCCCAGCCCAACGTTATTTGGGGAAGGCCCAATAAGGCCCAAATTCTCCAGTGTCGGACACAGGTCTAGGCACACCGGGCAGGCACCCTCCCCCGTTGGGAAGAACAATACGTCTTCCACAGGTTCTCCACGTACTCCTTCCGGCGGGACACGTCATCAACCAACTACCCACCTCCGAAAGAGCTGGTCAGCCCACCTTCCAGAGATCACGGGACAGTTGAACTAGGGCGAATACCATGTGTTGGTCTTCATTACGCCACGTAAGCCCTAACAGTCATCTGGGTTGGGTCTGACAATCCAGCCCAACACAAGTGACCGTTGGCCCTGCGCTGGGGTCTCTCTATAAATACTTTCTTTCACTAGAGGGCCAGGTACAATCATTGGTGCCGTCTGTGGGAATATAAAGCTTCTCAATTTCTCCGAGCAGAAGAACCAAAGCTTCCAACTTCAACTTCTGAGATCATGACTAGCCCACGTCACAATGATGTTGTCCACAATTCCGCCTTCTCCCTAATCACCAACGGCGACGACCAGGCAGGGACATCCCACGCCCGTGAGGGCGACACCAGGGACGGCCAGACTACCTCTCCTTTGTCCGAGGACGTGCCGCATCACGTCGCACCTCGAGCAAGGACCCGACTGTCTTCCAGCCCGTTTCTACGCCAGTTGGAGCGGACCCAACGATGATTGCTCTCTTCGCATCCATCAACCAAATAAATCTGATGTTGTTCCAGCATAATGAACGCATCGGCATGCTGGAGCAAGATACCTCGTCTCGCTCTCCCCCGTGGAGAAATCAATGCGGAGACTCCCGGGGCCCCTCTCCCCGTCCACGGGGGCGCCGACCACTACTGGAGAGACCCCAACCTGTGGCCTCCAAGAAGTGCGTCCAGTCACCCCCCAAAAGGAGAGGCGTTCCCCGGTCCCAAGAGCGAACAGACCCGAAGCCCTGGGTAAGAGGTCTTGGGGACGTAATCAACCCCCTCGGCACAATCCATCGCCATTGCGCTCCCCCGTCCGCAATGACGAGGACGACTACAGGACCCTCCCTGTCGCGGGAAATTATGGCGACCCTCATCCCCCACAGGATGGAGAAGCCGCCCGTTCTCTCCACATACGACGGTACCTCGGACCCGGACGACCACCTAAAAGACATCGAGGCCATGCTCGACTCCAGGAACGTCCGAGGAGCCATAAAGTGCAGACTCTTCCCGACGACACTAAGGAAGGGAGCCATGGCTTGGTACAAAAGTTTGGAACCTGATTCCGTCACGTCATGGAGGATCCTGAAGGATCTCTTCTCGCAACATTTCACGGAGTCCCGACAAAATCCCAAGACGGAGGCCGCCCTGGGCGCAATCGTCCAAGCCCCAGATGAACCTCTCAGAAACTACATTGAGAGATTCACGAGGGAGGCAGTCTAGGTGACGACTTCAGACGATATAAAGCGTTACCTTATGAAGCAAGGCCTACGCCGCGACTTCAAATTCTACGAGGCCGTGGCGATCCACCGACCAACCACCCTGCAAGGCTTCGTTGAGAAAGCCCGCAACTACATCTGATACGAGGAGACCGAGGCTGCTAATTCTTCCCGGGAATCCCACAACCGCGAAACCCCTTGCGGGTCCCGAGAAGAAGGAGTGCCAGCCTCCCAACATGGGGGAGATCGACGACGAGACGATCATCCCCAAGAGCCCTGAGAACAGAAGGGCCCTGTATGCCACTTCACCAAATACACAGCCCTAGTCGCTTCCCGCGAGCGCATATTGGCTGAGTGCGTCAACTCGGAGTTCGTCCAGGGAGGTGTCTGTTTTCCCAAACCGGCACCCCCTAAGGCCAACGTGGACAAGTCCAAATACTTCCACTTCCACCGGAGCCACGGGCACGTTACGGAGGATTGCATCCACCTGAAAGATGCAATCGAAATACTCATCAAGGATGGGCACTTGAAGAGATACATTATGGAAGGAGATGCCCC